TTCCCCTCGAATAGGCGCAGTCTAGAGCTGCCAAGTTTGACCCAACAGCGCAACATACGTGGCGGTGTTCTCTTTTTATGGAAAACCTGTTCATTTAGTGCACGACGCCAACCCCCGCGGGGAATCGAGTCTACTGCTGGGCCAAGACCGTCATGACCGAACTATTGGCGCAGCATCTGCGCATTTTCACCGCTGTAAATAGCGACGAAAGAGAACAATGGATGCCGTTGCAGAAGTACGCCATCCACTGGGCCAGAACCCGGTGCAAAAGGCGCATATTTGCGCCCAAATAACAACACTAACGGTCGAACGCGATGCAACACGGGTTTGCACTTTTCAAGAGAAAATCCTGTCGACGTCCAAGTTTTAATTCGACAATGCTTATCTTAGGGGACAAAACAAAGCAAGCTTCGACTGTAAAATACGAAACAGCGTCACCCAACTTCAAATGATAAAGATACAAAACAGCGCTTAGACACACGACGAAGGAAGGAAGTGACGCACACAGCTCTGAACTTGTTGCAACCGATTTATTTAAAAACAACATGTACCTTTCTTAAAGGCCAGCGCAAATGCTCATTGTCAAAGATCATTCACTCGTTAAACCATTAGGCACAGCGTCGTGTGAACTTCCTAGTCCGCCCAGTTTAACAAGCCAATTTCTTTTTATGATAATGCCAAGGGAAGGATGTCCCACGCGATCACTCGCTTTTCAAGTTGTGTGGAATGCCTCAGCCACTCCTTTCGCGTAGGTGTCCCCCCAAACTCGACCAGTCTGCCTGTCTTCTTCGCTAACTACGGTTATAACGACAACACGCTGCTGAGATAGTGGTGGCCGTACAGCGACCCTTATGTGTTGCAGCGCGACGTGACTTGGTCAAAGCACCGAGGAACTCGCAATTTCGCCGCGTGTCTCGACAGGAAGCAGACCGACACTCGGTGCAGCGTAGTACCAGCCGATGCGCAGATCGTAAGGGCCGATTCCAGCAACGTACCATCGGCCTCACAAGCTCCGCGTTTTAGATGCAGGCGAAAATGCTTGAGCTTAGGTTCAGCTGCACGTTAAACAACCTCATCTGGTCGACATTTCCAGAGCCATCCACTCATAATCATATTCATAATCATACGGTGCTTCTAGAATGTTAAACCTAAACAGTTATCACTGAATTATTACTTCATTTCTAGGTGCCATTTTCCTAGAGCTCACGGCGACGAATGATTTTGTCGCAGCATTGAACTGCTGTCTGAGAGAGAGAGAGAGAACTCTTTATTGAAATGCAGAGAACTTAGCCGGCATGTAAAATTCGCTGACTTGCTACTCTGCGTGGGGAAGGGGATTGAGGATTGAAAGTACAAATAATAAGACAGAGAGAAAAAAAAAGACAGATTGTGAATATAGATGATAGAATAAAAAGAAAGGAAGGAAAAGGCCACCTCTTTGACCATTGATAGAGGACGTGCGTTAATAGTTTTTTCGTGGTGTCAAGCTACAGCTACAGCTTGGCTAGCTGACCGATGCTGCCCAAGTACGAAAATAAAAGTATCATAGGACGCCTCTGTAAAGTGGGGCAGGCTAAAGATCCCAATACACAGTCAGGGGAGAAAGTTCTCTTGGTTATAGAATGCATGCAATGTTCATAAAGCGCACGCTCCTCAGCATAAGCTCTACACTCAAACAATATATGTTTCACCGAATCGACGAAGCCACAGTTGTTGCAATACGGACTCGCTGACTGACCGAAGCGGTACCGTAGGCTGTTAACATAGTCTGCTTGCCAGTCGTGGACGAAGCAAGCCCGTGCCGAACGAATCGCTTTTGTTCGTGGAAGTCGCGGCTGATAATTGCGCGCCCACGTGGTGAGGGTCGGTCCATCGTCACCCAAAGCTTCGAGAAAGTCTTGGAACCCGCCACGAAAAGAAAAGAAATGCACGGATGTGGTTTCGTGAAAGGGCTTTGTAGCAGGTGGATTGCTGGCGCATTTCTCGGGTTCGTTCCGAAACACGTGCCGAGTGTGACGCTTTGTTCGTATACACGACGTCCTCTAGTTCCAGTCGAAAAGGTGCGCACTAACCGAGCAAAGCGTGGCGAGGGACCACCGCATCAGATTTCACTAGACACGCGTCGTTGAGTAAAAGCCGTTTCACACGACATAAAAAGTAGCGATTTTCAGTCCGCGAATTCGATCGCAGCGAAAAAAAAAACAAAAAAAAAAAACAGGCCATTTCGCTCACGCCGCAGCGGTCCAGGGCGAGCTTCCAACATGTTGGCAATTTTCGCTCTGGTCGCGACGGCGATTTTTGGTCGGGACCCGTCGAATTAGGGCCGGGCCGGCCAAGCCGTTTAAATAGCGTCGACGTGTTTGTTTTAGTGATGGCCGATGCTGTGTATTTTAAATATAATTTAGATTAGAAAGTGTTCGTAAATGACGAAACACAAGTACTTTTCGTTACCGTTCAGGGAAACATAATAACGCACAGCATTGTTACATCATATTTAAAAAATTGGCCCCGTATCTGCATGTAATCTGCGAATGTGGTCGAAAGACGATAGTCTTGCGTGTGGATAGTCTTGCACCCATGTGTGTGCGATCACACTGAAAAGCTGCGTATTCGAAGAAAAAATGAGAGAGAGCAAGAAATTGGCCCCGTATCTGCATGTCTCACTGCAAATGTCGAAAGACGATAGTCTTCCAGCTGGAGAGAGTGAATAGAACATCTATTTGATGTTCTGCATGAGAAAGTGGGTGAATGGAATTCTGGAGGCGCTGTGTGAGACATGAGTGCCATCTGGCAGTAATCTTCAAAAACTAAAGGATGGCCTCCGATATAGCAAGTGTGCACAGTCTCGGAGGCCACACTTTGTAGAAAGCAACATCACGGGTAGATAACAGCCCCGCATCGTCTTAGCAAGGCGTAGAAAACGCCCGCCTCTTTGTGCATAGCGTCGTATTGTCAGCGCCGTGTAATAAATGCTACGGTTCTTCGAATCATGCATGCCTCTACTAGTATAAGGAAACTGAATTGATATTGCACCTCAGATACGTTCAATATTTATTTTTTAGTCTGCAGTGCCGCAAGTCTGAGCGCAGGAACCAGATCAATATTTGTGGATGTTGAGGAAGTGGAACTTAAGCCATTTTGGTTGACAGACAGACAAGTCGACAGACAGTACGACAGCAGGGTCAAAATTCTTGCGTTGAGGTATGCAGAGAAAGACTATCATTTTTAACCCTTTACTGCCAGATGTCACGAATTTGCGACATATCGAAAAAATTTGAGCGAATAAGTCGCGAAATGTGTCCCACTTTTAATGCCGGCTGTCAAGTACTTGCGAGGCATGTAGCTTTCAGCATGAAAAATTTAGTGCAGTCTCATCTAAGGTATTTTAAGCTACAACCAATTCTTTCGAAGCTGATAGCAAGCGCTAAGTGCGTGCATGAGCTCTCACTTCGTTTTTTCTTAGCTAGGTGACCTGAGTTCTATATTCAATAATTTTGTTTATTTGTGTGTATGCACTCGAGAGGTGGCACACAACATCTCACATAGTTCTGAAGTGCGTTTTTTGTTGCAAGCTAGTCGCTACTGTGGCATATGAAGAATTGGTGACCTACACAAAAGTATCCATCAAAGTTGCATTTTAGATAATTTAACTGCGACATCATATAAAGGTTGCTACCTAAAGTCGAAAAATTAAAACAATTTTTATTTCGCTGGGCAGTTTCATATTTCAGACATCAAAGAGTTGAGTGATCAAGGTCACAAGGCGTGCGTGATGTATTTTTTCCCCATGCTAGCCCTCCCCAATTAGCTTCCAGTGCCTTCGTCGGGACGAGATGAGAGAATGCAAATGCAACATGTGGAAAATCTTTGCAACTCCGCTCATACTGGAAGGATTTTAAATATTTTTGCGGCGGTAGTGAATTTGTGAGGCAGTAAGCTTCTTTAGTGAATCGATTTTATGGCTACTTGAAAAAGTGTTGCAGGGCCCCTTGTGGGAATTGAGGCTAGCCCGCTGCCTTTGCGCGGGCTTTGCCGCCTTTTCTGCCGTTCTCATGTCCCGACATGTCTGCCCTCCTTTGCTGTCTGCCACGCTGGGAGAGCGGAGTGACGTTTAACTCCCTCACCCGGATAGCGGATGTTGACTGTGGCCCCGCGCGCGAAGTCTCCCGAGAGGTTTTCGCGCGCTGTGTCGGGAGCGGGCAGACAGATTCTCTCCTGGACTGCAAACGGTGAGCCACGCAATCTTTTCCGTCCATCGACTCCCGTCGCTCGGGGCTCGTCGGACTTTGCTGACGGCGCCTCGCGCCCGAGGCGAACACTCACCTTTTGTTGCCCCACTGCGTACGCACGGCCGAAGGTCGGTACGGTGTCCTAGTGCGTGGCCTAGCTACGCCGACCCGTCTCCCTCCGAAGCCAGTGCGAGCGCCTTTGCCCTCGCTCGAGCAACCGGGCCTTGGTCCCGGTGTCTCCGTGGATCACCTTTACCGAGGAGACGTGCTCGTGGCACCCTGTGTAGTACTTTTATGCCCGTGGCGTGGATAAGCCTATTTGCTTTCCCGCCGCGCTTTTGCAACGGGCTGTACTGCGTTTGGTGTTGCCACAATAAAGTGTTGCGACTTTAAGCAGTATCGTGTTCTAGCCACGGCGACGGTTAACGCGTGCCCTGCGGCTCGATAAGACCGGACCCACGCTGGTGGCCGTACTCCTTCGGGATACGTGTACACCACACCCTTTAATAAACATATTACCCTCAAATCAATTTTAAAGTTAAAAAGGTTGCTATGTTCACTTATATGCTCCAAGTGTAATAAATTTTAAAATGTTGTGTATTTTAAAAGTTATCACTTGTATTCTACAGAAAGCCGAATCCTGCTATTAAGTCATTTTGTCTTTCTTTATATGAAAAAAAATGCATTTGCATAGACGCCTTATATAAAAAAAATATTGTGCAGGTTAGTTAGTTCATGATTTTTCTTCAGATGTCATATATACAATTCCAATTCGCTTGAACATAAAATTTATTATTCTAAAAGTCTAAAAGAAACGTCTATTCAACTTGTTCGCTAGGCTGCCTACAGAGGCAGCTCAAACGTACTGAAGAGTGCTTTCCTGCCAGAACAGCCTGTCCACTATTGTCTTGCGAGACGCGTTCCCTTCCAGGTGATGGCTTGCCAATAACAGGATGCCCTTCGTCAGTCCAAGGGCTTGGAGACTCTGAAGGTGCGTCTTGGAAACTCCCGATAGCAGGACCAGTTCCTCTTCCATCATTGTTCACTTGTGTCAGTACTGAAGCAGAATGCTTAGGCCAACTGATCATGCTGGGCAGTGTCCAAGGTAAAGCTCTATAGGTCATGACTGAGGGTCTGGCCGGTGGCTGCAAGCTGTCTCTCTATTGAGACAGGGGTCAGCGTGATGGATCCAGGCTTCTGATTCTGTAGGTGGTAGCCTTTGGAGGTGGTCCGAATTCTGAGATGAGCCTCATTATAGGATGAGTCCCATCTCCCCTACACTGAAGGTAAGGGTGGCCTGGCCGATGCTGGTGGACTCGATCTCCACCTAAGACACAGGGACAGACAATCAAAATTACCAACATGCTGTGCTTTACACCTCCAGTGCTTACTGTTTAAAAAGATTAAGGAACGAGAATTCGTCAGCTAAAGGTAAGCAGACCTTAATTTCAATCAACCATGCCATGAACAATAATATACAAAACGAATTACAGCAGACCCCAACTGATGCATTTTTGGAAAAACTGTAAGAATTAAACGTACGAGCCGGGAAACGCAAGAACTGAGAAAGAGGAAAAACAAAAGAAATTTACTTGTAAAAAATTTGCTTGAGAGCTTACGCTAGAAAAAACCGTGCGACGTTGCCTGGTGTGTTTGCTCATACTCGAGGAGAACAAAAAGCTTTTTCGGGCAACTGCAGCGTTGTGTCTTTTTAATAAACCTAATGCCAGGACGGTTTCTGTCAAGCGATCACTTTTGGTGATGTCTTTGCGATACTGTAATGGGATGCATCGGTGTCTCCGAAAGATAACGTAGCACTATCGGCAGTGTTGGACAGCCATGACTCGGAGTAGATAGTCCAACACCTTGCGCAAGTGAGAGTACTCCTGATACAGATCATCGAAGAAAGTAACTTCTGCATCACAAACTTCTAACTTCATCCATGGTGCAAGCATTGGCACACTTAGCACCGATCTAGCCTAAGGATAGAACTGTAGAGCTAAGAACGGTGCAATTAAAGTACATGCAACCACCGTACGCAATTTTGCTAACACCAACAGTGGTAGGCATGAAAAAACTGAGCGCAACACAGTCAGCGCGAAGGGTCCGACTTTGAACTATGCGTACTACTCCGATGAATAATGATGACGAGTTCACGCCAATGCGACGGTAAAAACAAATGCCAATCTCAAAGCCACAACTTTTGCAAGCACTGAAAACAACTCAGTTGAATCACACACGTCATATTTGAAATAAGATTCTCGAAAGTTTTGCTTCTGTTCGTGGCAACTGAAAGTTATGTGGGTCACTTCCACCAGTCATGCGGCTAATATTATGGTGAAGCCAGGCGAAGAAGAGTGAAAACTCAACATGGCCACTGTCTTCCCTCGTCGCTCAGCTGGCTCACAGCGCACTTCACGACTTATCTTACGATACGTCGTGACCCTGCAGTTGTGAAAAAACTGTGGTGCTGCCAGTACATTAAATCCAAAGCTGTCTAGTGGTTTGCTGAAATCAGATGCGTTAGCTGAAATTTTTTCGAAAAAAAAGTGGGGAGGGTAACTGCATAAAATAGTTATTTTGCACTCTCTATGCCATGGCGAAAAAGTATTTGGAAAGGGGGAGCAGGGGCCCGGGGTGCTACCCCCTAAATACGCCATCAAGTGAAATGTATGGGTGCCTACGGAAAAGAAGACGTGCTTCACTGCAGCATGATTATGGTTATGATTCACCCATTCTTTCACGAAAAAATAAATAAATAAGAAAAGATGGTCTGACAGAATTCACCATGTATGAAAGCTCTGATTGGTGGTATCATGGTTTTCAGCTAAAATGCATTGCGAATTTCATCACAGCGGCTTCTTTCTGGAAAATAATTTCTTTATCCTACTAAAAAAAAGGCAGATGACTGCATCACGACATGCTGACGCTGCGATAAGCAAATTACGTGCTCCCAGCATGTCATTACTATATTGCTGTGAAGCACACCTTTCTTTCCAAAGGCGTGCATTTCAGCTGACAGCAGCGAGACCTGCCGTTTTCTCGGCTTTGCAGCGAAACCGGGACTAGGTATTGGTGGATAATATAAGCTTTTGAGTTACAATTTAGCCAGCACACCAAACGACCACCTCCGATTACTTTCAGTAATTCGAAGCTCCTTACATCCTGCTTTATGTATGGTTTCTCAATTTAAAAAATGGCTCAATTTGAACATTTTTCATGGTCTCAGTAACTATGAATTAATGAGGTTTTACTGTACCTCATTAACTTGAAAGTGAAAAAACCAGGAAAAATAGAAAACTGAAAAGCAAACATATTATTGCAATCATTCCACAGCGTACCCAATATCTCTTGTGTCCCACCACACTGGTGCTCCAACTGCAAGTACGCCCCCAACTTGGGATTTCAAATTGAAATGACGCTTCAAAATAGGATGAATGGTCAATATTGGCAACTCACCAGCTTCATGCTGTCGAGGAACCAACAACAAAATATCCATTAACTTGATGCACTATACTGCCTACACAAATTTGTTGCAGAATTTCTTCTGAGTCATCTTCACGAGCAATGCATCCAACATTCAATATAAAATTCGAATGTACTAATGCACTGCTCTTGACTGCTTACACACTTCACTTATTCGATGAAAATATGGGCCACATTTCTACTTGACATACTTTTCCATACAATGCGGCAGAGGAAAAAAATATGCTTCTGAAATGCGTGGCGGGCAATTGGTGGCCCATCACTTACCATGTCCGAGATGATCTGGTAACCTGCGGAGAGGAGCGTGCCCCATCACGCGCATGGCACCCTGCTTGGTGCGCACCAGGTGCATGGTACCACCCGGAGACACCATGGGCTCTTCTGACCTCGTGGGCAGCTGGCTCGTCAGCTGTAGTTTGCCCGCCTGAGCCGGACCTGCCACCGTGGCGCTGGTGGAACATGCTTCTGGACCACACTTCATTGGGTGGTGACCCTGGCCAGGATTGCCCACAAGCTGGCCTGGGTTTACCTGCAACGTGCACTTTGCAGTTAGCTCTATTCAGCTTGTTGTGTGGTATTAGCATCTTCCTATAAGGCTCCCAACACAAAATTATCAAAAGGGAATTAGGGGATTGTAACTGATAAATAACCTGCCATGGGAATTATGGTTAGGACTTAAGTGGCCCATTTTTGCGCTTGCTTAGAATGTTCTTGCACTTACATTAATCTCACTACCGTATTTCTGCCTTGATTGGCCCATTTAAAGACCCAAGCAATAAATACCTGTACAATGCCATAAAAACATAAACCTAAAAGACAGAAAGCTATACACAGATGCATGATCCCTGCAAATAATTGCACTTGTTAAGCAATGCAGTAAAGGCTATTAATTTGACCCCTAATATTTTGAAAAATTGCATAATTCAGGCTGATTCCCTGCCTCAATTCAGCATGTGTGTTATTTAATTACATCAAAATCTCATTTATTCACCCATATTTGAATGTGCAGAATACAGCTGACTCCTACACATAGCTTTTATAGGTTCGTGAAGGCATTTCACTCAGTCGAGACATCAGCAGTAATGCAGGCAATACCGAATCAGGGCATTGACGAACGCGACATAAACCTACTGGAAGGAATCTACAGTAGATTCAGAGCCACCATAGTTCTCCATAAAGAAAGCGACAGAATCCTAATAATGAAGGGTTTAAGGCGGGGAGACATGCTCTCTCCAAATCTATTCACTGCGTGGTTACAGGGGGTTTGCAGGGCCCTACATTGGGAAGAGTTGAGGATAAGAGTTAATGGAGAGTATCTTAGTAACCTGTGATTTGCTGATGACATTGCCTTGATGAGTAACTCGAGGAACGAATTACAGCGCATGATTACTGAACTGGACCTGGAAAGCAGCAGAGTAGGTCTGAAAATCATTACGCACAAAACTAAAGTAATGTGAAACAGTCAGGTCAGAAAACAGCACTTTGAAATTGGTGGAGAGACACTGGAAGTTGTAAAGGAATATATCTACTTAGGACAAGTAGTAACCGCAGAGCCGAACTATATGAGTTAAATAACTAGAAGAATAAGGATGGGACGGACCACATTCTGCAAGCATTCTCAAATCATCAATGATAATCTGCCACTAACCCTCAAGAGGAAGGTGTATAACAGCTGCATCTTGCCAGTACTTACCCATGGAGCGGAAACTTGGAGGCTTAAGAATAGGGTTCAGCTTAAATTGAGGATGATGCAGCACCCGATAGAAAGAAAAATGATAGGTGTAACCTTACGAGACAAGAAGAGAGCCCAGTGGGTCAGGAAACAAACCGGAGTTATGGATATCATAGTTGAAATCAAGAAGAATTGGACATGGGCCGGGCATGTAGCACGTAGGCAGAATAATTGCTGATCATTAAGGGTAGCTGAGTGGATTCAGAGAAGAAGGCAAATGCACGAAAAGGAGACAGAAGTTAGGTGGGCCGATGAGATTAAAAAGTTCGCAAGTATAACGTGGCAACTGACAGCACAAAACCGAATTGATTGGTGGGTCAAAGGAGAGGCGTTCGCCCTGCAGTGGGCATAGTCAGGCTGATGATGATTTGAATTCGACCCAGTTATTTTTTTCTATCCTTGGAGTGCATCAGACGCGAACTGCCGCAGATGTACAGCACAAAGAAGCGAGAACAGTCTTCGCGAACAACCAAAATGGCCGTGGGTCTTCAGGCATGTTTCCCAATCACAATCCTGCCACAATCTCCTAGAGAAATAATTTTAGTGCAACTGAGAATGAGGAAGAAAATTGAGAGCAAACAGGGTAGGGTGCCAGCTATGCACAACCCTGTTCACTGTTAGAACCTACTTTACCACAATAATGATGCTTAGGACCAAGGCTTCAGAGGCCGCGAAAACTTTTGTTTTTTTTTTCTTTATTTTAGTTTGTGCACGCGACCAACAGGCACACAAACAACTCTGTGCACGCGCTTCCAACATTGTGATAGATGAACGACGAGCTGGCAGCAATTTTTGTGGTGAAAAAAATGTCACATGTGTGTGGTGGCGTTGGTGTTAACAAAAAGCAATAAGTGATGTCTTCAGAGCCTATTTCGACATAAGGGGAGATGCTACTTAGAAAAAGGTTTCTTTAAAGGGAAGCTGAATCACTTAAAGAAAAATTACTTTGTATTGTGTACGGACCATATGATTCCTGCTGGTGATTCCTGCATATTCTCTTCACATTAATGTTGTTGAGATGACAAATCCCATTTATCTACATGTAACATGCACTACTGCACAAACTAAAAATAAGGACTCATATAAGTGATCTATGACAAGGCTCAATAACCAAACTGACTTGATTAAATCTGCACTTTCTTCTCGAAACGAAACTGGCTTGGGAAACTAGCATGCACTTTGGAAGCTGAAGGGGAAGCGATTCTCTGCCATCTCCGACTTATTACCATCAGCACCTCGCACACTTCACACGAGCTCTGCTTAGCTATTGTATTTACACGACTGTTAATAGATACGAATGTAGGTCGACCCTTCCCAAAACTGCGTGTTCGCCAAAAGGGAAAAGGAGCATTTCACACAAAGAAAATTTGTTTACGAAGACTATTTCAAAGTTGGCATCACCCTTGTTGAAGTCAAAATGTATGCAATACGATAAAAATTATACACAACACTTTTGCCATAACTATGAAAACATGGATGCAAAGTTGTAACCACAACATAGCGCCTTTGATTTTTCTTTTTTTTTGCGTTTACTAGCGGTGTGCGGTTTCGATTCGAAGTCGACATCCCAACATTGGATTGTCAAATTTGAAATCGAGAGAAATAAACATTTACAGTCGAAACCTGCAAAAACGAAATCACCGGCAAAACCGAAATATTTCGTTTTCGCGAGAATATCGTTGCCACGAGTATAAGACAAAAAACAGTGATACGGCCAGCGGAACGAAAAAAGTGACGAAATGACGGAAGCAATGCAGGCTGGGAATGTCTCGCCCTCTGATGGCATCGCTGCAAGGATGCTTAACATGATGATAATATTGTTGCCGTTCTTTTTTTTTTTCCGCGATCAATGGAGAATCCGCTTCCAGCGTCAAGCTTTTCTGGGGTGCCATTGTAACTTCATCTCAATTTCGCCACCAGTTCCAGTCTTCTCTTCGTCGTTTTCATTGATTTTAACTGTTGGTGTTGCTTCGGCCTGTTGAGCTCGTCCGACGGCGCCATCTGCACTTCAGCATGATGATTTGCCATCGCCTGCGCAGTGTGGCAAAGCATGTTGCCGAACACAGACACTATCGCCGATTCAAGTAAATAAAAATGGGGGAACCCACGCTAGCACGGCAAAAGCAGACGTTTACAAATTTTGAGTGCGCATAACACGCATACGAGCATATTTTCCACAGTTAACCTTTGGCGGGAGGGTAAAATAAGGCCCGCACCGTGGTAGAAAAATCGTGATGCGGGATCTCTGTCCAAAAACATTTTGTTGCCGCGAGATACGTAATACATGGAATTCTGTGAACGTTCGCCGGGGATCCGGAAATATTTCGTTGCCGAGGGGATTTCGTACCCGCGGTATTTCATTGTTGCAGGTTTCGACTGTATTTAGAAATTTGAAAAAAAAAAGGGGGGGTCGACCTACAATTGTTTAAATACGGTATGTTAGAGGATGACAATCAAAGTAAACCTAAACATGACCACTTGAAAACTTTCACTTTGCTAGCTAAAATCCTGTCAACAGTGTTCGCATAACTAGCAATCTATTCTGGATGGCTACTGAAAATGTTCCACTCACAGGATGCTGTTGTGGCATGGCATGCAGAAGGGCCACCGAGGGCACGACAGGCACTGGGGTTTTAATACTCTCATCAGGTGGGCCTCGAGAGCAGGTCGACCTTGAACCGTTTAAGTCCAAATTGCTCAGCAAGGACTCCATCGCAGCCTCTCCGCTATGCTTTCGCTGCTCCCTCTTCCGCTTGCCCAAATCTTCGTGGGGCAAAAGCTGCTCCTGCAGTAACATAGGCCAGTATCCTCTGGGCCGCCCGCTCAAGGCACCGCCCGTGGCCGGCCCCGGAATAGGCATGCCTGCTACCGGAGGAGGCTTCACCATAGGCTCCTCCTTGCCACAACAACCTTGAGTCCGATCTCCGTCCCTTGAGTCTGTTTTTAGGCACCGGACTTCTTCCAGGTCACCGTCTTCGACATCCAACTCCAGGGACTTGTCGAGGAGGTTGCCTTTTTCGGCTTCACCCACAAAAGCTCGATCCTGGTCCGCATCAACATACTCAAGTATGTCGAAACTGTCTCCAAGACCTGATTGCCAAAAAAGGAACATAAGCAAAAATAAAGCAAATTAAAAAAAGTTCTTTAAGCCGAAAAAAGACACTGTACTTTACCACCCTTTCATTCGTTTTGAATAAAAATCTATTTTGAACAAATGTGCAGAGTTTATATGTATTCGCGTGACACTTGAAGGAGTGCAGTAATTTTTTTAGCACTGTGCGCACTTTCTAAAATATTAGACATTCAATGAATTGTTTTCGGAAGCAACATTTGTGGCTTGCTGCATAGAATAGCCAGCGGTGATGGTTGCTGCAAAAGTTCGCCTTTACAACAGGGGTGAGCGAATATTCGAAATTTCAAGAATTTTTCTAATAGCGTTTAGTCTAACAGAGTGGATTTCATTCGCACCAGAATTTCACTATTCGGCATTCCTAAAAATAAACACAGTCAACATCCAATTCACACTGGCTCCTTCAGATTTTCAATATGCTTCACTCCATCACACATTCATGCTGCGGCAAAGGCTACATTTCAGGCTCTGCTACTGCCGCTTATGTATTCGACTCGAGTAAATGTTGGTGCTCACATAGAGATAAAAAATGTGGCAGAGGTGGAGTCTTAATACTGGTTTTGGACCTAAAATCTGAGCAGAAAGCCAGAAAAAACAAACGCCGAAGATCTTTACCTTTAGAAATTTCATATTTTTCTGTTTTTTGACATCTATGAGACAGATTTAGAACTCCCCACTCTAAGCGAGAACAGCCTTGTAATCTACATCAGCTGGGCGAACATTTATGCTCAAATAGGAAAAAAAACTGGAGAAAATAGCATTTTTGCCTTTCACATATAACACATTGGTTGCATTAAACAATGTACTAACATAATTCGACCACTGTATTGCCACACTCTTGATAAGACAATAAAATACTACCCTCCAAGCACTTCATCAACCTAGAAAAAAAGAAACACTTTTATAGAGCTATATCTTAACAATATGTTTACGAATTCCCACCAACTTATTTCCCAGTAATTTCACTTCGATGTATTAAAGATTATTGGAGAAATATTTGAGAAATATTCGACAAGTGTTCTACTCGATTTGTACTCACATTTCAATATTCAGATTCATTTCACACCCAAAATTTTGCCATTTTAAGTGCAAGTAGTATGAATCACCGAGCTGGTAATTAGTGTCATTTATGTGGCCTTGACTGTATACGGTTGAACCCCTTTGTAGGAGGCACACATCTGGGAGCAATTCTCGTCTCCAATATAAGACGTCTCTTATAAGCAAGACACGAAATATGCATTTTCGTATCCACCCTACTTGCAGGCGCATTGGCGTCTCTTATACCCATTTGTCTTTTACACCGTCTCTTATAGAGGGGTATAAATGAAAGACTGTATAAATCTTTACCATCAACAAAGCTTATCGGTCTCCAAGGCCACTATCGTCCCCCACTTGAGGCCCTCATTAGCATTCAACTCACCTAGAAGCGAGTCATCTGGATCATCGCTCATTTCCCTGTCACCGTCATCGGGGTCTTCAGCACTCTGCGCCTCAACTTCTTTCACCAAGTCCCCAACAGTCTTTTTCTTTCCTGGCTCCGTTTGCAGGGTCTCCGATCCAGCACTGGCATCAGCAGTACCAGACGAAGCAACATAAATGCTACTCATATTACCAGCTCGGGAAGGTTGCCAATGCAATTGCTGCTGTTTTGGTTGCTGGTTTGAAGGGGGCTGCTGCGTTGGCTCGGGCATGCCATTGTGAGCTGGCTGGCCTTCTCCTGACACAGAGCCACCCACCCCGCTCTGTTGCTGCGATGTGCACTGTGCAGGGAAGGCGCCATTCCGGATAAGGTGCCCTTCCTTGAACAAGAGAGCACCGTCACGACCTCCGCAAGATTTAGGTTGGAACATTGCTGGTATGGGCCCTGCATATAAGGGAAGAGGTTAATTCAGCTCAAGAGCACATAAAAGAAAATAACACTGTCCCTAATTGCAATAACAATAGTTCCCTGAAAGGGGTTACGAAGCAAAAACATAAACACTCCAGAATTTAATGGTGCTAATGGTCTCCTGTGCTCAAAACAAACATCCTATTTTTTAGGCATGAAATGACCAACAAAACTCTTGAGAGCTTTTTACTAAGTTGCAAATGATACAGCAAAAAAAGGCAAATATTGCACAGTAAGCCAAATGAGTGTCATAATGTTCCATGTTCCTAACAAATGTGAAAATATGACTTGGAAACCAAGTGGCCCATATGGGCGCGATGAGACACGCAGCATTGGTGGAACTCCCCTACACTAATTGGTCTTAGTAGGCTTGTACAAATAGTGAATATTAGTTCGAAGCAAATAGGGGCTTGGATACAATAATTCCGAATGAAATTCGAATGGTATGTATGACATGTAAAAAAATGAAAATATTTATGACCTGGCTAACCTGCACAATTATTTTTCAAAATTAAAATAGGGCTTTATGCATATGAAATTTATTTTTTTCGTTCAAAAGAAGTCGAAACAACTTTGAGTAGTAGTACGAATTGAAGTTTCGGTAGAATACGAGTGATAACCTGTAAAATACTTTACATTTTAAAATTTATTATACTTGGAGCATATAAGCCTCCAAAACAATTTTTTAAGTTTAATAAAATAATGAATTGAATTGAGGTTAATATGGTAATTTATTGGAGCCCTGCAACACTGTTTCAAGTAGCCATGGAATGAATTTACGAAACAAGCTTATAGTCTCACGAATTTACTTAAGAATACATCCAGTACGAGCGGAGTTGCAAAGATTTGTTGCACGCTGCAATTGCATTCTCTCTTCTCGCCTCGACGAAAGCACTGGAAGCTAAGCAGGCAGGGATAGCACGGGTAAAAAAAACCCATCCCACACATCTAGTTACGTTGACAATTTTTTTCTCTCTCTTTCCTTTCTACGAATACGCAACCTCTCCGTGTGATCGCGCACATACGCGTGAACAAGTGACCCTGTCCTTCTACTGTTTTCTGCCAAGCACGCTCCACACTGCAGTGTGAAGGTGCGGCTCGGCAACATTCTATAAAAAAGTGCTGCCTCGTCAAGGTTGAAAATGTCGCTCCCTGCTGAGCGCATGTGTCAAGAGACGTGCCACAGGGTTGCTTGACAAAGTTTATTTGTCTCTGCGCTGAGACTTCACGCACTTCACGTTCGTAGAAAGCGTCGAAGTAGTCGTAAGCACGGATAGATAAGAAAAAAAATGACAGCATATCCACGGGGTGAACGATGGAGAGTGGGGCAAAGCATCCATCCGTCCATTCGTTCTTGCTTCTGTCCATTCGTGCGTCTGTCTGTGTGACTGTCCATGCGTCCATCCGCCCGTCTGTGTGTGCATCTATTCGTGCGTCCACACGTCCATTCGTGCGTCCATTCCTGCGTGCGTCTATTCCTGCGTGCGTCCATGCATCCGCCTCTGCGTCCGTCCAAGCGTCCATTCGTCCGTGCAGCCATTCGTGCATCCGTCCATGCATCTGTCTGTGTGTCCGTTCGCCCATCTAGTCAACACTCCAAGTACTACCATTTCGCATCTTTTCATCACATATTCCGCATATAAAAGCACCTCCATCCAGGAGACATTCCAAAGAATAAACGAGAGGTGGCACACGCACACTTTCTTACGGCTTGCTCTTCTGGTCTACTTCGCACCTTTAACCACCTCAAGTTCATGGTATATACTAGTTGACTGTATTCATGGCACTGCTGCCCAACGCCCGCTAAACCTTTCTAAAACCAAGGAGGTTACGCCCAGCGAGTATAACGTAGAAACCCTTTCTTGTCAGATAGTGCTCAATGTACATGCCAATGGATGCTAATGGGGAATGAGAGATGGGAGAATACGACTTTTAGTTAACACGCACGCTGTGAATTTTTTATTGTTCAACAGCGCACAGGAGAAATCTCCCACTGGCACCACCTTGAAGGTAAATGTGTAAGACATGTTACGCACTACTACGAGGGATGAACGAAGTCGCTTTAAGAAGCTTCGCCCCTAAAAAAAACTGACAGACTTCAGGCGTGGCAGTGTCACGCGAGTCTTGTGGTGGAATTTTCCAGTGGTGGAATTTTTATTACACTACCGGTCAAGATATCTAGTTATCCGCAATCCGACCCAAAACTACTTCGAAAGAAAGCAAATATACATGGTACAAATAGCAAAATGTTCAGTGCCATTTTTCAAGATACCTGAGTTTGAGTTAACAAGGTATTACTGTCTAAAGCATATACCCTTCCAAAGACACACACTGGCAGTGGTAGAGCCTGCAGGGTGAATTTCTCATTTAAATTACACCACCCAGGACACCACTCTGCGTGTCCACATAAGTATAAAAGCAATGACCACCTTTACATTATGTCCTCTATAAAATGTGCGCACTATGGCCAGAAAACTAAAGAGACGTCAAATCCCCATAAAAAAAATAACAAAGGCGTCATACTATGAACCTTGCCACCCTCACCTTGAGTCTGATCTCCGTCCCTCGAGTCTGTTTCTAGGCACCCGACTGCTTCCGGGACATCCTCTTCGACATCCAACTCCAGGGACTTGTCGAGGAGGTTGTCTTTTTCGCCTTCACCCACAAAGGCTCGATCAATGGTCCGCGTCAACATACTCGAGTATGTTGAAGCTGTCTCTAAGACCTGATTGCCAAAAAGGAACATAAGCAAAAATAAGGCAAATTAAAGAAAGTTCTCTAAGCCGAAAAAAGACGCTGTACCTTAAGACCCTTTCATTCGTTTTGAATAAATATCTATTTTGAACAAATGTGCAGAGTTGATATGTCCTCGCGTGACGCTTGAAAGAGTGCAATAACTTTTTTAGCATAGTGTGTACTTTCTAAAATATTAGACATTCAATGAATTGTTTTCGGAAGCAACATTTGTGGCTTGCTGCATAGAATAGCCAGCGGTGGTGGTTGCTTCAAAAGCTCACCTTTACTACAAAGAAGGGGGAATATTCGAAATTTCAAGAATTTTTCCAATAGCGTTTAATCTAACAGAGTGTATTTCATTCGCACCAGAATTTCACTATTCCGCATTCCTAAAAAAAACACAGTCAACATCCAATTCACACTGGCTCCTTCAGATTTTCAATATGCTTCACTCCATCACACTTTCATGCTGCGGCAAAGGCTGCTGCCATTCAGGCTCTGCTTTTGTCGCTTATGTATTCGACTCGAGAAAATGTTGGTGCTAACATAAAAATAAAAAAATGTGACAGAAGTGGAGTCTCAATACCGGTTTTGGACCTAAAATCTGAGCAGGAAGCCAGAAAAAACAAATGCCGAAGATCTTTACTATTCGAAATTTCACATTTTTCTGTATTTTGACATCTATGAGGCAGATTTGGAGCTTTGCACTCTAAGCGAGAACACCCTTGTAATCCACATCAGCTGGGCGTCCATTTAAGCTAAAATAGGATGAAAACAGGAGAAAATAGCATCTTTGCCATTCACATATAACACATTGGTTGCATTAAACCATGTACTAACATAATTCAGCGTCTGTATTGCCACACTCTTGATAAGACAATGAAATATTACCCTGCAAGCGCTTCATCAACCTAGAAAAAAAGAAACACTTTCAAAGAGCTATATCTTAAGAATATGCTCACAAACTGTCTCCAGCTTATTTCCCAGTAATTTCACTCAGTCGTATTAGGAAATTATTACAGAAATATTTGAAAAATATTCGACAAGTGTTCTACTCGATTTGTACTCACATTTCAATATTCAGACACATTTCGCACCCAAAATTTTGCCATTTTCAGTGAAAGTAGCATGAATCACCGAGCTGGTAATTAGTGTCATTATATGTGGCCTTGACTGTATACTGTTGAACCCCTTTGTAGGAGGCACACACCTGGGAGCAAATCTCGTCTCCAATATGAGACGTCTCTGATAAGGGAGACAGCACATAAGCATTTTCCTATCCACCCTACTTGAATGCAGACGCATCGATGTCTCTTATACCCATTTGTCTTTTCCACAGTCTCTTATAAAGGGGTATAAATGAAAAACTGTATAAATCTTTACCATCAACAAAGTTTATCGGTCTCCAAGGCCACTACAGCCCCCTACTTGAGGCCCTCATTAGAATTCAACTCACCCAGAAGCGAGTCATCTAGATTATCGCTCATTTCGCTGCCACTGTCATCGGGGCCTTCAGCACTCTGCGCCTCCACTTCTTTCACCAAGTCCCCAACAGTCTTTTTCTTTCCTGGCTCCGTTTGCAGGGTCTCCGATCCAGCACTGGCATCAGCAGAACCAGACGATGCAGCATAAATGCTACTCTTATTACCAGCTCGGGCAGGTTGCCGATGCCATTGCTGCTGTTGTGGTTGCTGGTTTGAAGGGGGCTGCTGGGTTGGCTCGGGCATGCCATTGTGAGCTGGCTGGCCTTTTCCTGACACAGAGCCACCCGCCACGCTCTGTTGCTGCGATGTGCACTGTGCAGGGAAGGCGCCATTCTGGATAAGGTGCCCTTCCTTGAACAAGAGAGCACCGTCAGGACCTCCGGAAGATTTAGGTTGGAACATTGCTGGTGTGGGCCCTGCAGATAAGGGAACAGGTTAATTCAGCTCAGGAGTACATAAAAGAAAATAACACTGTCCCTAATTGCTAGTTTCCTCAAAGAGGTTATGGAGCAGGAACATAAAGCAGTCCTGAATTTATAGCTGCTAATGACCTCCTGCAGGTAAAATAGACATCCTATTTTTTTAGGCATCAAAAGAGCAACACAACTCTTGAGAGCTTTTTATTAGGTTGCAAATGAAACAGTAAGAAAAAGCAAACTTTGCATAGTAAGCCTAATGGGCATCATAATGTTCCGAACAAATGTGAAAATATGACACGGAAACCGAGTGGCCCATATGGTTGCGACAAAATACAGTAAAAGCTACTTAATAGCCTATTTACCTTCTTCAATAATTTGAACTTGGACACACGTGATTCATTTAGAAATCGGCAAGCACCTTCCCGAAAGCTCATATACACAAACTTTTACTGCATGCATACAGTTGAAACTCGATTCTATGAAAACCAAACTTACGAACTTCCTGATTTAATGAACAAATACAGATTCCCTTGCAGTTGCCAATAGGCTTGATGCTTATACGACCTCGAAATCACAAAACAAAGCCCACCACCAAGTCAGATTTAAAGAAGCATGTTGGAAAAATATGTATAGAAAAAGTTTTATTCCAAATTTATAGAGTCTAGAATGCCTGGTAGCACGCTGTCAGCATAGGAACAGTACAATCCATGCAGCAGAAGCAATTTTGTTTGGTTTTCACGAAACGACTGTGCAAAGGTGGCTAAAAAACATTTGCTGACGAAGTTTCTATGTTTTTAGCGTCAGCAGACGCTCCTCATCAGGAAAAATGGGCAAAGAACATAAAACAAGAAGAGAAAGTGGTGGACAAGACATGGGTTGACTGTTTTCACCATTGTGATGATTGCTTCACTGTGAGGACATATGAAGGGCTTGTAGAGAAGGCCATTAATCCTTGATATTTTCTGAACATACCGTAAAATTCCTAGCAAGTGCCCTCCTTCCCTTCCAATGAAGTCGAAATTGCCGGGAAAGTGTTGGGGGGGGGGGGCTATCATGGAACGGTACCAAAATTCAAAGATGTTGGCAAAATTCAATCAGCAGCAGGCAAATCGTGAAGTGTCGCCGGGCACATCCAGTATTTGCAATCGATATAGTGCTTCTGCCGACCACGTTGTTGATCCTGTTGGCAGGGTTGTCTATTCGCATCGTCTGATCCATGTTAGGCATGTTATAAAGGTGTAGCTGTTGCGTCGTTACGACGAGTTCGCCGAAGACCGAAAGGCACTCGCTGCCTCCAAAAGTTCCTAGACCGTCTTCTGGTTCTCGTTTGTAGTGCGGCGAAGTGGATCACTGAACCGCTTTTTCCAGCGATTTATATAATGACTGGAGGCTACGAAGTTTTCCAACTGCATGTTGTTGCCAAGTTTGATGACCTCTTCAGAAGGAATCCAGTTGCTGGCGGGACTTCTTGCACTTCTTTCATGCTAAAATACAGTAGACCAAAAAAGTTAGCAGACCACGAGAGCACGTGCCAAGCTGCCTGTCAGTGCCACCTGGCACTGCGCTATCTACCATCGACCGCAGTGCTGGGTCAAAATTTGGTCTTCTTGTTATTCAATGGCATTTAAAGTTTTATTGCTATGTAGCACATTATTAGATCGCAGTTTTCATGCAAAGCGCTCTTCTGCAGTATGACCATTACACTGCTGTTTTCATAGCAGGACCAAAGCTATCACGAAGCACCTCGAACGGCCTCCCATTTTGTGGCATCGGAGACTGACATCATCATCAACAGCAAGAAGCGTGGCTTGCCGGTCTCGGAATGCTCGTGTTGTGTGGAAGCTCGGGTTCATCAAAGCTCTGCCTGACCTGGAATAAAAGGAGTGCCACCTATGTTCTGTTGAGTGAGTGTGTGTATTGTAACAGTGGCAACGAGGACAACGAGGACTTCGTCCAGTCCTGGACCCGCAGAGCCATGAGCGTGGGACGGCGACCAATGTTTGAGCGAAGGTGGTCAACGTTCTGAGTTTGCCTTGAAGCCTACTTCGAAGCGCAAGACATCACGAACATGATGAAGCAACGAGCAGTGTTAGTGGCCTCACTACCAGACAGCGCGATTCAAGTGCTCCAGGGACGTTGCCATCTGAAGCAAATCAATGCACTCAACTACGACAATGTCGTTAATTACCTCCAGGAGTACTACGCCTTGAAAGTCAACGAAATAACGGCAAGTTATGTTTCTTTTAATCGATCACAACTGAATTTATTGCTGAAATAAGGTGGCTGGCAGAAAAATGCAATTTCGGATCGTCGCTTGACCGCATGCTACGAGACCGAATCGTGTGTGGAGTCTTAGATGAAGATGTGAGACAACATTTGCTGACTCCCAGGAACCTGACGCTAACGGAAGCAGACGATTTCGTTATTACAGCTCAGACCGCGAATGCTATAAGCATGCAATATACCGATCAGAGTAGCATCCAATTCGTGCGTCAGAATAGGCCACGAAAAGGGCAATCGAAGGCCCAAGGCATGACACCTTGCCATAGGTGTGGCAGTGAAGCTCACTTGAACGAGCAGCGCTATCACATCCATATGGTCTGCCACCGATGCGGTAAACGAGAACACGTCGCTTGAATGTGCCTAGAACAAACCCAGCCAAAGCCCTGTGGCACTTACGTCCTGTCGGCAGCAGCTGACGATAGCTCGTAAGATGAGAAGAAGTTCTATCCTATAGTGGCTCATAAAACGAGTACTGGTCGCATGGTTAAGCCAATTTTCAAGGAAATCACTTGGGATGGTGTGCCGCTTTCCATGTTGATCCATACGGGGTCACCTGTTAGCATTATTTCAATGAGCCTGTTTAAGCAGAATCAAAGCAGATGGCCACCTCTAAGCAACACCACTCTCAAATTGTCATGTTTTTTGGGAGAACTTCTAGTGGTTGGAGAAGTGCAGATGAAAACGACCTGTGAGGGGCACGAAGTACAGGGCACCCTGGTTATTGTCGACACACTTGGACCAGTGTTATGCGGAAGGAATACCATCAAGGCGTCTAACAATTGTGGAGTGGCCATGTTGAGGCCAAATGTCATCGCGAACCTCAACACGCGCAATGAAGACCGCACGAGCCAGAAACTTAACACTTTGCTCAAGGAGTTCGAAGCTGTGTTTGTGCTGGGTTTAGGACTTTATAAAGGTCCACCTGTGACAAAGCTTATCTTGAAGGAAAATGCCACGCCCCTCTTTTTCAAAGCAAGTACAGTGCCATATGCTTTGACAACCAAGGTGTCTGACGCTTTGGACGGATTGGTTGCCGACGGTGTGATATTACCAGTGTATGGCTGCAGAATGGGCAACGCTAGTGGTTCCAGTTTGTTAAGACTGCTGGGTTCATTCGACTGTGTCAAGATTTTCACCTGACAGCGAACACGGCCACAGTGACTGAACAGTTCTCACTGCCCCGAGTGATGACATCTTCGCACGACTGAATGGTGGTGAAGTACTTAGTACACTGGATTTGACTCAAGCGTATAACCAGCTGCCCGTGGACGACGAGGCCAAGAAGCTGACAGTCATAAACACTCACAAGGGTCTATTCTGCTTCAATAGGCTTCCTTTTGGGATTAGCTCAGTTCCGGCCATCTTCCAGAGGCATATGGATTCCTCATTCAAAGATCTGGATTTACAAGCCTAACTGGATGACATCAGAGTGGCTGAGAAGCGCAATGACACTTCATTGTTAAAGCAAGTCTTGTTGCGCTTACTGGATTATGGTCTCCCGCTAAACATCAAGAAATTCAAATTCAGAAAAAAAGGAGTCACCTTTCTTGGACATGGAGTGGATGCTAATGGGCTCAGATCGAAGGGCGACAACATTAAAAGCAGTTCTTCAAGCACCGGTCCCCAAGTCAGTGAGCGAACTGAAGTTTTTCTTGGGCTTAATCAACTACCGATCCTTTCCACAGTCCTAGTGCCATTATACAATCTGCTACATAAAGGAGCTACGTGGAAATGACAGCAGTTACATGAGGAAGCAATTCGAACGGTTAAGCAGGCTATACAAAGGTCAAAGTTTTTGACACCCTTTGACCCTGACAAACCTTTGAAATTAGAATGTGACGCTTTCCCGTAGGAGTGGGGGCAATACTTTCCCATCGCATCAATGGCGCAGACTATCCGATTAATTTTGGCTCCGGAACTTTGTCCAAAGTGAAACGAAACTACTCCCAGCTAGAAAAGGAAGCATTCGCCCTGTTATTCGGCGAGATGCAATTTAAGGACTATTATATGGCAATCAGGTTGATTAAGTGACTGACCATAAACCACTGACAGGTTTGTTTAACCCAGGAAAAGCCATTCCTCCCATGGCTCCGGCAAGAATTCAGTGGTGGGCTCTTCTCTTGGACAATTTTAGTTACACATTGCAGTATCGCAGGGAAACCGGAACCTCAAATGTTGATGCCTTAAGTCGCCTGCCATTGCCGAACTACACTACACGATACCAGCACAGAAAATCCGCCAGAGTACCGTATTTACTCGATTCTACCGCGCCCTCGATTGTAACGCGCACCCGGTTTCCACGACGGAAAAAAAAAAAGTAAGACATTGATTGCAACGCGCACCCATTTTTCTCGTTGGCCCGCACGATCACACCACTCGGAAAAACGACTCTTTCAGAAGCGTCTTCCGTTTAAATATGAGGTACGGGGGAAGCTTGTGCCTGTCTGATGTGCAACGGAGCATGGCCATCACTCTAGTTTTACCGTGGCTCGATGTCAGCACGGGAACTTGCTTCGCCCCCTTCTTCTCGACGGTTGTGGTGCCAGGCATGTCGAAGTAAAGAGGCGTCTGATCGGCATTCCCGATTTGCCCAAGCAGGTAGCCGTTGTTGTGCCGCAAGTTTAGGACGAACCTCTGAAAACTGTTAAGCTTTTCTTCGTACTCCTCTGGCAAGTTTTGGCCCTATGCCCGTTCGCTTTCGGAGGGAAAAACC